TTAAAAAAAATGTTTTTATTGATTTCAGAGAGAAGAAGGAAGAGGGAGAGAGAGAGAGAAACATCAATGATGAGAATCATGATCAGCTGCCTCCTGCACGCCCCCTGCTAGGGATCAAGCCAGCAACAGAGGGTTCCCCTGTTCCAACCCCAGGATGTGCCCTGACTGAGAATTGAACCATGACCTCCTGGTTCATGGGCAGATGCTCAACCACTGAGCCAAACTGCTGGGCCTACTGATCCTCTTTTACCTCAGTTTTTTTGTTTGTAAAATGAGAATTAAAATACTGTTTACCTAGTAGGGTTGCTAGGTTATGAGGTTTACTAGTAAATGAGTTGCTATATGCAAATGCTTTGAACTGTAAGCATTATATAAGGGTTAGCTCGTATCATTTTTATTATTACTATTCTTAGCATGAGGCTGGGTGCGGGGAGAGTATTTCTACTGCCAAGCACATATCCAGCCCTGCAAGTCCTGCCCTCTCCTGTCCTTGGAAGTTCTGCGACCTGAACAGGGAGGTCCCCAGGTCTCCACCCCCTATATGGCTGTGTCCAAAGGGCCACTCCTGTTATAGCAAGGGAGGCCTTGAGACAATCCAGCCTGAAGGAATGGACAGCTTCCAGCTTGAAACCTCCTAGAAGTCAGAAGGGCCCTGAAAGACCAGCTAATACAAGACCTCCACTCATTTCCCCAAGAGGGGCAGGCATCTACCTCAGCACCTTAGTCACAGGGGTTTCCTCTCCCAGGCCAGCCAGCCCCTTTGCCCACTACTTCCTGGCTTCCGTGGATCTAGAACAGCTGGTCCAGGGAGAACCACAGGGGACAGGGACTAGCTCAGGGGTCAGTGGCATGAGCTGCTGGTGTGGAAATGAGCTCTCTGGCAATGCTTAAGCCCAAATTAAAGGCAATAAGAGCCCGCCAAGGATATTGCAAAGAGGACAGGAAGACAAGGAAATTAGAGGGACCTTTACAGGTCCAGGACTTAATTTGTGGGCCTGTGGTTATGTAGTGGGTCAGTGGGCAGGTGTGGGCCAGACAATGGAAGGCTCTGATTTGCACCTTCACACCCACTCCAGGAGGCCTACTTCAAGAAGCACAAGTTCAACACAGTGCCAGGTGTCCAGCTCAGGAACGTGGACAGGTAGGGGCGGGGACAGGGCAAAGGGCAGGATATCTGGGAGTCTTGATGACCATTATTTGACAGTCCCTTCCAACCCTGGGGCCTGGATGTTTATCCCAGCCTGCTGTCCCCCAGTTCCCACGTGAACCTCAGCCCAGCTCCTGGGATCTTGGGGCTACCCTCTCCCTTGAACCATTTCTCCCTCTCCTTTAGTCTGAAGAAGGAAGCTTACGAAGTGGAAGTTCACCGGCTGCTTAGGTATGGCCTAAGGCATTAGGGGTATATGGCAGGGAGTGAGGAGGAGTCAGATACTAGGGTCTAGGCCTCATAATTTGTGGGGCCCGCTGCAAAATGAAAAACAGGGCTCCTTGTTCAAAATAAGAATTCCAAGACGGTAACAACTAAGCAAGGGGCCTTGTGTGATACACTCATGAGTGAGGGCCTGTCTTACCCCCCTCCCCCCACTGCAGTGAAGCCGAGGTGTTGGACCATAGCAAGAACCCTTGTGAAGACTCTTTCCTGCCAGACACAGAGGGCCATACCTACGTGGCCTTTATCCGAATGGAGAAAGATGATGACTTCACCACCTGGACTCAGCTTGCCAAGGTGCCCCTATGCCACACCTACCCTAGAAATGCCCCTTCCCCCAAGATACAGGGAGCCTTTTACCTTAGAACCTTTTCATTACACTTTCAGACCCATCTTTCAACCTCCTTGTCCAGATTTGTATTTTAAAAGCTGCTAGCTCTTATTAGAAGTACTTTAAGAAAAAAATTAATTTGAGAGATGGTAAAAAGGAAAAAAAAGATGCTATCTCTCGCAGATTGAAGAGGCTGCTGAGGAGGGATGGGGCTGGGCCTTGGGTCCTCAGTGGCCCCTCCCCACCGCTCTCTGACCCATGCCTCTCCCTACTCCACCCCACAGTGCCTCCATATCTGGGACCTGGATGTGCGTGGCAACCACCGGGGCCTGTGGAGGTTGTTTCGGAAGAAGAACCACTTTCTGGTAGTGGGGGTCCCAGCCTCCCCCTACTCGTGAGTGACTCTTTTCTGCCCTTAGAAATGGGAGACTGGCTGAGTGGGACATAGCTAATGACCTCTTTCCTATTACCTTCCCAGGGTGAAGAAGCCACCGTCAATCACCCCAATTTTCCTGGAGCCGCCCCCAAAGGAGGAGGGAGCCCCAGGAGCTGCAGAACAGACATGAGACCTCCTCCGGGACCCTGCAGGGCTGGGTACTGTGTACCCCCAGGCAGGCTAGCCCTTCACCCCATCATGTAGGATTTTGTAGACACTGGCAGGGGTTGGGGCTGGTTTGTTTTTAACATGAGACTTAATTACTAACTTCAAGGGGAGGGTTCCCCTGTTCCAACGCCCCTATTTCTGAGGTGGAGGTCTATTTATTTACTTCCTTGTTGGGGAAGGGCAGGATAGTTGCTGGAATCCCTGAGCAGCTGATCCTGCCCTTTGTATACTCCCTCCTCCCAGGCCTGGCTCAGAATTTAACCTATTTATTTACTGTCCTGAGGGCCTTGGAAACAGGGTGAAGCCTGCAGGAACTTGATTCTTTTATGGACTGGGGTGCTGCTCTGAGGGTGTGGCTGGCTCTTACTCAGGAAACTGCTGTTCCCAACTCCTGGACAGGCCCAGCAGGGGCCCGCCCACTGATGCAGACGCACTCAGAGACCCTCACCCTGAACCAGGCCTCTACTCAGCCTCATCTTTGTCCAGGTTTCCAAAGCTGGATAAGGTGGTCATTGATTAAAAAAGGAGAAAACCTCTATGGATGTGTCTCGTGTTTGTGTGTGTGTGTGTGTGTGTGTGTGTGTGGGAGAGAGAGAGAGAGAGAGAGAGAGAGAGAGAATGCTCATGATGGATGGTGAGTTTTCCTTACTGCCCTCCATAGGGTTTATCTTCCATTTGGGGCCATTTGGCCACCAGGGGATGCCCAAGTCTCAAACTTCAAGGTTTTTCCCTAGGCTCCACCCTAGAGCCTGACCTGTTGGGGCTGAGCTTGGAGTAGCCACCCCACACCCCTTTCCCACTGTTTAACCACCAACCTGTTTCCTGCCTAGCTTGTCAGGGCCAGGCACTTGTCCCCAGATATGGAGCAAAAGAAAGCAAAGAGGGATACTTCGATGTGGGAAGGCAATGGGAGCACAGGTGAGTATAGTGAGGCATGGGCGGGAAGAAAGTGGGTGAGACAGAACCGGGTTGGGCATCATTCAGGAGGCTAGGACTGGGCTGCAGATGGAGACATAGGAACAAGGATTTCTGTGGCCATTAGTGCACTGTATGCAGATTTCATAGCTGGGCATTTTTTCTGGAGAAAAGCCATTGTTTTTATCAGATTCTCACCCAGTCAGTGATCCAGAGCGGTTAAGAAGATCTAAGTCATAAAGGTACCAGAAAATGAATGGGATTGTCTATAGGGAATGGATGAGATACCCCAAGCAGGGGAAGTATGACATTTACGGGAGCTGTGAAGGACTTAGGGTCAGGAGAGTACAGAACACTCTAGAGCAACGGTCTGCCTGCAGAGCCCATGGGAGGCGAGCCTGGGGAGCACCTGTAGAGCCTTGGCCAGGAAGGCAGGAACTCCCGGCCTTTCGCCGGCTCTCTGCCCCCCTGCCTCCCCCACAGGTGCCTGGAGCGCAGGTCGGCGATGGCACGGGTAGTGTGTGGCTAGGACGTTTCTTGCCACCCTGCTGATTTCAGTGTTTGCTGTAGCTAGAGATAGTGATTGAGGTGCCATAACAGCCAGATTGAGGAGCAATTAGCTCACTATGAGGCGGAGGCCCACCCTGGGCAAACAGATCAGCAACCTTCCTTGTCAGGCCCTAAACACTGGCCGGCCCCACCCAGGCTGAGCACTTCCTGGTGTTGCTGGTAGTACCCACCATCAAGAAAGCCTGGACCCATCTCAGGAGTTGTGTGTGCAAGGCATAGTAAAGTGGGGGAGGGGGCTCATTGCCCACCCCCAGCAGGCTCCTCATTTTGGCCTCAAACTAGCTCTCAGGCACTGTATGGCTCTGGCCAGGTCACTTCCTCTCTGGGCCCAGCAACAGGTGGTAGTTCCTGGCTACCTTAGGAAAATCTGGGACAAGGGATCCAGGGGTCAAAGGGAAACAAGGGGAGGACTGGTTAGCCAGGCTGGGCTTTGCTTGGTAGCAGACACCATGTTCTCCAGCCATAGCTGCCTCCTGGTTCGGCAGCAATCAGATCTGTGTGGGGGACATTCTGGCCTTCTGGTAAATCTGTCGCCATATCAGATAGTGTGGGCCTGAAACTAGTCACATGAGTTTCTAGGCCCAGTTTCTTGAGGATGGGGGTGGTTAAGACAACATGGAGATCAGATCTGAAGAGCACCAGGCAGGCCGAGACCAAGAACACGTTCTTTCTGAAGTCCCCAAAGCAGGGAGCGGTGTGGGGCTTTGCCTGAGTGGGAAGGGTAGGCAGCTTGGATCCTCCAATGGGGCTTCCAGAGGGCTTCTCAGAGTTTAAGGGGTGACTCCCTCCCATTGCCCTGGCAATATTTTTCATCTCCCCCGCCCCCACTTGGGCACAAGCTTGTTATTTTCATAGCTTTCTGGTCCAGTGCCCCTACTCAGGAATGAGTAGTTTCAGTCCAAAGTCCTCCCACATTATAGGAAGGCAGGCTGACCCAGCCCCCACCTCCTCCCTCAGTGCCCTCTCGGCCATCCCTGTTATGCTCCCTCCCAGGCCTGGAATTCACATGGAGAGAAAAAATAGCCACCCACCTCCACTCCACTCCTCTTCTGCTACCTTCCCAGGGGCCTCTGTGTCTCTAGCCCCACAGGAATCTGAGGCTAGTTTAAGGCAAGATGGGTCCCTCTCCCCAATGATACACATGAAAAGAGTCCCAGTGGAAACAATTTAATTGGTTTATGAATTCTGAAATGCCTTCTATACATCCGCCCGGTTACTACTAATTTTGCATGTGCTCAGGATATAGGGTGCCTTATTCCCCAGTGGAGTACTGGGGTCACCAAGAGCTCCTGTTGTCCTGAAGGGGTATCAAGGGTTTGAGAGACAGACTAGAGGAATGGGCAGGAGAACTGGCTACCCTAGAACTGGCTCTGGAACAGGTGGGCCCCAACCCCACCAATAGAAGGGGTGGTCCCCATGTGGCCCCACTCTGGCCCAAATGACACTGTTAGATCCTGTCGCCACCCTGATCACGGCCTTTTGGCAGTGCCAGGGTGCTCTTCCCAGTTCCTGTGTGGCAGGAGCAGTGGCGGAGGCAGAGGCAGACTTATTTCAAATTGCAGTACAGGTACATGGACACAATCATGGCAGCCAGCTGGTGGGGAAGGAATAAGGCGAGATGAGGGGACATGATCACGGTCCTTAAACTTTAGTCCCCTGCCCCCCAAACTCCCTACATGAAGCGGTTAGAAGTCTGTGTCCTCTAGAGAGGCCTCAGAGATGGGACAAGCACCTCTGTTCCAGTGGGGATATCCTGCTCCAACCTTCTCACCCCCTTACCTCCAAGCCTCCAATTCCGGCTGCCACACCACCCACAGTGATTGCATTGGTTCGGACGTTACTCAGAAGCTGCTTGAAGCAACCCTTGGAGAAGGGAAAAGAGCATCTATAGTCAGCTCCTGCCCCCCCCCCCTTTCAGCACTCTGAGGCCATTCAAACAGCCCCAAATTTCCATGCCAACCCACACCTGTACAGGTTTGTCCTCGGCCCTCTTCTTGGTGCAGGGTTCCGTGCCATTGACATCATCAAAGCAACAGTATGGGGGAAAGACCTGGTTAGCTGTGAAGTAGGGAGACTCCTCAAAATCCGTGTAGTTGTTGAAGCCACAGCACTTGAGCTGGAGACAAGGAGGGGAGGGTGTCATTGGGGCCTTGCCTCTTTCTCCCCACTCCAAAGCCTCCCCAGCCCACCTTACCCCTTCCATGGTGCTGTTCCACACTTGTGTGAAGTCCTTCTGGGAGCCATAGTCCTTCTTGATGGTTTGCACTGCCACCAATGTCAGGTAGTGCTCAGCCTGGGTAGAGCAGGACAGTGTTTAGGGCCTGAGAGGCAGGGTGGCCATTCACAGGCCACAACCCACTTCCAGGGCTTTGCCCAATCTTACTCCCTTGCCCCATCCTCAATCCTCACCACTGAGGTATACACCAAGGCGACCACAGCAGCTGCGACCTCAGCAATGAAGATGATGAGGAGGATGAAGAAGAACTGAATAGGAAACAGGGGTCTGAATTTTAGGGAGAGACAATCCCTCGTGAATCTCTTGCCCTAACCCACCCCCCATAAAAAGAAGGCAGGGGCCCCTTCGCTGAGGCCCTTGGAGTCCAGAAGAGGGTTTGGGGATCCCCAGGGCCTGGTGTCAAAGGTGAGGGGACCCCAAGCCTTGGTTATGGGCCTGTGGAACTGGGTTTGACACACCATCATGAGGGCACACTTGTTCTCAGTGTGAGCACCGTAGCAGCCCAGGAAGCCAAGAGCAAAGAGCACAGCGCCAGCTGCGATGAGGAAGTAGCCCACGTTGACAAACTGCATGGCACTGGACGACAGCGGCCCGAAGATCTTCAGGAAGGATGGCCCATCGACTGACACCCAGATCCCCACTGCCAACAGGGCCACACCACACAGCTGGAGACAGAGAAGCAGACCTTGAAACAGTGCTGGCCAGCAGTTCCCTACCACACAGTTGAGTCAGGAAAATGGGAGATGAGAAATTTCCCCCTTTATTGGCTAAGAAGTCTAAAAACTCATCCAGTAGGGAGGGAAAACATCCTGTAAAGCCAGAAGGATGGGAGCTGGGATACCCACAGCCGCACCAGGCTGCACACCTAGGCAGATATAAATGGGATCAGAGTTCCTAAAATATCCCTGTGGTGGTGGTGGGGGGCATGGGGGTGCCCAGACTTTCCCTCACCGATGCCAGGGTCCTGACACATAGCTAGGAGTGAAAACAAGCAGGTGAGCACCTACCCCACCCTATTTCCTCCCCAGGCTATGGGTGTCTGGAACACCTATGTCCTCTGATAGGTGGAAACAGGGGGGTGGTAGCATTGAGCAGGCTCAACAGTAACCCTGGTAACGAAGGCGGGGTTGAGGTTTACACCTACTCCCAACCTTGGAGAGGAAGGTGGTGAGAAGGGACAAGGACCCTGGGGCCCCATTTGGCTCCCTTCCAAGGTTCAACTCCAGGCCTGCCCTGTATCCAGCCTAGACCTCTCCTCGTAGAGACTGAGGGGGAGTACAGTCAGAGCTCTTGGAGGCTCCCTAGCTCAGCTCCAAACCTCAGAGGGAATCCTGAGGCCCAGAATGGGGAGGAGGGCACTGCCCAGTTCCCAAAGCTCTTACAGCAAAGCCTTTCGGAACCAGAGTTTCAGGGTATGAATCATCCTGACACAACCTTGGTGCCCAGTCCCCACTTTCCAGCTATAGGAACTGAGGCTAGAACCAGGAGTGAAGTGGCAGATCATGGCTGCATTCCAGGCATGTTTGCCCAAGGACAAAAAGCTGGACTTTCAGCCTGCAGGGTCAAATTTCAAGGAGTCTGAGGCCTGCCCTGCCCTGCCCAGCCTGGCAAGGCCTGGGCAACAGAGGCCAGAAACCAAACCGGATTTGCCTTTAACCCCCTCCGGCCAGAGTCTTTACTGTCCAAACTGATGGGATCCTGTTGTCTTCGCTACATACATGAATAACGGCTGGTTCTCCAAAGCCAAAGGGAGCCCGAGACACAGCCCACACTGGAGTCAGAGTGTTTTCCTTACCCCAGACCAATTTCTCCAAATTCATCTACACTCCATGTCTCCACTTCCTCACCTTTGACTCACTCTAACCCACTCTATGTGGCTCCCAGGTCTCCGGTGACACCCTATGCTAAATCTGGGAGACGCTTACAATATCGTCCTTGGCCTCTCTGTCTCGCTCTCCTTGTTTCCTCCCTTGCTCTTTCTCCATCTGCTTCCTGGTGGCCATTTCTCCGCTTATTCCTTATAAGCTGGGCTTCTTGGAGTTCGCTCTCCCTGAGTGCTCTCACCCACTGAGTGGCTTCCATGACCACCTACAGGCACATGACTTTCACATGTCATGTCCAGTTCCCACCTGAGCTGCAACTCTGAGCTGCCTATGATATACCCCCAGGTTGCTCACGCCACAAACAGGGGCATCATCTCCAAGACCTCTGTCTCCCTTGCCTCCTCTTGCATCCCTCAGCCACCATCTGAGGCTTTCTCCTTTGTCTGCTTTGTACATTTCTCCCCATCTCCACCACCACCTCCAGGGTTTATGCCTCATTGCTCAGCTTCCTCAAACATGCCCCACATAATCTGTTCCTGGTTTTCTGAGCAATGTCTGATATTACTGCCTCTGGGCCTTTCTGCATGCTTTACAGTTCCCTCACACAGGGCAAATCCCCGGCCTCAGCTACTTCCTCCAGGAAGTCTTTTCTGACCCGGTGGAGTTCACCCCCCTCCTATGGTCTCCCTTAGCCCCTGTGTTAACGCCAGAAATACTACGCTGTAACTGTCTGCCTATCTGGCCTGCTGGACCTGAGGTCCTCCAGGGCAGAGAAAGAGCTTGCTCTCCTGTTACCCAGCATTCAGCACTGAATCTGAGGCTATAAACGTGTGTTTAATGAATAGGGCTGCTTGAGGCAGACCTTCTGCTGTGAGGGTCTGGGTCTTGTCTTCTTTCAGCTCCCCATCATACAGAGGGCACCAAATTTCCTCCCACGGTAGGTGACTTAGGGCAAACCCCTTCCCCCCTCTGGGCCTCAATGCTATGAAAAGGGGAGAATTGTTCCCATTAACCTGCCCTGCCCTGAGTCTGGACTAAAGCTTCCTGGAAGGGAGGAGATCCCCAAGTTTCTCTACTCCAACTCATGTGTCATCCAGGCTGCGGAGTGAACTCAGCATTTGGGGAGACCTCAGCATAAGGGGACACTGGCAGGAGACTGGGCACAGTGGCTCCAATTCCCCAGCTTGAGCTCTGCTCAGGTTGTGACCCACTCCTGTAGGGAGCCCCAAAGAGCTCACAACACCCATACTTACAAAGATGAGAAAATTGAATAAGATCATCATGGTCTTAATGAAGCTGTAGCACTGCATGGTGGCTCCTGGGAGGCAGACATGTATGAGTTAGAACCTCCCCCTGCAACCCCAGGCTGGCCCTGGCCCTGACATTGAACCCTGACAAATCAGACTCCAGACTCCAGAACCCATATGTTACCAAGGTCCCCCTGCATCTGGACTCTGACACCTCAGGACTTTTCCCAATTCCCATCCTGACACTCCTACCTCTCTGTGCTGCCCAGACCCTCAACCAGCACCTGACACTCAGATCCTAACACTCCAGGTTCATCCCCCCACACCCAAGCCCAATGTCCACACTGTAGGTCACTCCATGCCCTTCCCTGGCACCTATATATCCGTGACCCCTCCCCAAACCAAGAGTAGACTCCTCCAGGGCCCTCCCCAGGGTCCTTCCAGCTCCCTGAACCTGCTTTCAGATTGAGTTCCCTTCATAAGATAATCTCTACTCTATGCCATCACCCACCTGTTCAGGACTCTTGGTAGTGACTTCTGAAAGAAGGATCTGCTGAGGCTCCAGCGGGACAGATAGCTCCAGGGAACTGCCACTGAGTGGGCAGACAGGCAGCTGGCTCTCACACAACACTGCTCACCTGCAGGCGGGGCAGGTGTTTTAAAGGCTTCCTCTGCCCGCCTGCCCGCCTGCTCCACCCCAGCTCTTAGGCCTTCTCTTGCCCCTGCTGCCCCCTGCTGCCTGGAGATCCGTTCCCACAGCCACAAGAGCAGTGGGACTCCACCTGCCAATACCAAGCACGGGCAATACCCCGCCTGATCTGAGAAGGGAGAGAAATCTGGGGATGAGCAGGGCCCCAGAACTTCTGAGTGCACCCCCCACCACCACAGTGCACATGTTTCTTACCCTGTATCTACAGATACATTCATACACACCCTACATGCTGTGCTCACAGGCATACACATCTACCCAAGTTGCCATCTATATATTCACACACAAACAAAAACACCTACTGATGCTCACGAGTACACACACACACGCACGCACGCACGCATGCACGCACGTATTCACTTTCAAGGCAGTGACCAAGGTTTGGCAGCTTCTGCTCCCTCCTTTGAATAATAAAAAGCTCCTAGTCCTTTTCCTTTCACAAAAAGATCAAATTCCCCATCTCCCTTCATCTCGCCTCCTCACTCTTCTCCCTCTCCACCCTTTTCCCCCCAAACTTCCCTTTTTCCCTTCTTCCCTTAGCACTCTGTGTACACCCTTCCCTTTCTGCCAGCAGGTGGCACCATGGTCTCAAGAAAGCATCACTGCCCAGCTGTAAGGCCCTGCAATGCCCACCATCGAGGCTGCCATCCCACTTCCTATTCCAACATTCCTGATGGAGGTGCTGGGGCAGTCCTGGCTTCTGAGTCACTCAGACCAGGTGCTCAAATCCTGGTTCTGTTGCTGATTAGCTGTGTGACCCTAGGGGGCATTTCTCAGACTTGGTTTTAATGTCTAGTCGGTATAACAGAATTGTTATCGGGCTTTAAGAAGAGATTTTCTCCCCAATCTGGGACATAAGCAACCTTAGTGTAAAAAGGTCCGAGGGGGGAAAGTCCCAGCCAGAGGGGGTACGGCGTGGACAAAGTGGATTTTAAATTTTGTTTTGTTTTTGTAACGGGAGGAGGCAGCTGAAGAGACAAGAGAGGGGAAACTGACAACACAATATTTTTACGGATCATGTTTTAAATGCAATACATATATAGTAAATCATTTTTCCTTCACAACAATCCTATGAGATAGATTCTCTTATCTCCTTTTTATTTTTTATTATTTTTTAATAATTTTATTTTTTTATTATTTTTAAAAATATATTTCTTTATTGATTTCAGAGAGGAAGGGAGAAGGGGAGAGATAGAAACATCAATGATGAGAGAGAATCATTGATTGGCTGCCTCCTGCACACCCCACAATGGGGATGGAGCCCGCAACCCAGGCATGTGGCCTTGGCCAGAATCGAACCTGGAACCCTTCAGTCCGCAGGCCGATGCTCTATCCACTGAGCCAAGCCGGCTAGGGCTCCTTTTTATTTTTAATCCTCACCTGAGGATATTTTTCCATTTATTTCCAGAGAAAGTGGAAGGGAGAGGGAGAGACAGAAACATCACTGTGCGAGAGACACATTGAGCCTAGAGGTACATGCCCTTGACCTGAATCAAATCGGGACCCTTCAGTCTGAGGTCCGACACTCTATCCACTGAGCAAAACCAGCCAGGGCTCTTATCTCCTTTTAAATATGGGGAAACAGAGGCACAGAAAGGTTAAGTTCTTGCCACGATCACACAACTTATAAGTGGCTGAGCCAGTATTCAGCCCAGTCAGTCTGGTGCCAGAGTCTACGTCTTACCCCCCATCAAACAGACTGTCTACATTGATGGAATCTTGAAAAAGGCAGGACGGACTGGCTTCCAGAAAGAGCAGGGAAAGAGGCCTTGGTCTGGGACTTGAGTAAGAAGATGGCCAAGGGCAGGTGGGTTTATAGGTATAGTGGCTAGAAGTGGATGGGGGCTGGGTTGGTTTCTAAGACTAAGGATGGCAAGAATGGAAGCTGGAAGGGCAGGAGGTGTAGGGACTTTGTGATGTAGAGGGCCTCTCAGTCTCCCAGCTGTCTCCTGAGAAAAAAGCGACAAGGTGGAGGCGGGGAAGTGGGGAAGGGGGCCTGTTCAGGTGGAATACGAGGGAAAGGAAGAGAGGGCTAAGATTTAGAGGGAAAGGAGCAAGCCCAAAGTTCCACAAGAACTCAGTACAAGGCCTAGCAGAGCCATTGATGTTTCTGTCTCCTACAAGAAAGGAGATAAACCCAGGGTTGGAACCTCTTACATCCCCTGGTGATCTAACCATTTCTCTCCCTGCACTGATTGTCCACATGGCTTTCTCTTTTGTCTCGGGAAGAACTGGAACCAGGTCACATTAATCTATGTCCCCAGTGTCCTGCACGTATGAATTTGTTAGTGAACATTTCCTGAATGACTGAATGAATGAGTGCAGAATAGCAAGAGTTAAATGTCGGGGCTTTGGACCTTGGCCATGATGGATCTGAATCCCTGCCTGACCCTGATTGTGTGACTTCACCTGAACCTCAATTTCCTTATACGATCAATCTTCATCATTCACAGATTACATGTTGTGAATTACCTACTCATTAAAATTTATTTGTAACCCCAAACCAATATTCACGGTACTTTTGAGGTTATTCATGGACATGTGTACAGCTGCAAAAAATTTGAGTTGCCCAACTTGCATGTTCTCAGCTGAGGTTGAACAGGAGAACACCCTGCCTTCTCATTTCAGCGATTATAATGTAATATAATGTGGTCTTTTTAGTGTCATGTTTTTTGCATTTGGGGGCTTTTTGTTGGTGATTTTGCTGTTTAAATGGCCCTAATGTCATGCTGAAGTGCTATCTCATATTGCTAAGCACAAGAAGGTTGTGATGTGCCTTCCAAAGGACATGTGTGTTATATGAACTTCATTCAGGTATAAGTTATAGTGCTATTGGCTGTGAGTTCAATGTTAACGAGTCAACATTAATGTTTAAATTAGGTGTCTTTAAACAGAGAAACACATAAAACTAGGTGATGTACTGATCAATCACTTGATGAAAATGTTATGACCTGGTAGGAATCTAACCCTGCACTTCTCCTAGGAGCATTGGTTCAATATTTGCTAATCCACTGTTCATAGTGGTAGCTTTATTAGAACATAACTACCATCAATAACAAGAGACGAGTGAAATGAGAATAATTATAGAATTTCCTTGTAGGGTTGTTGTTTGTAAGGTACTTGGTATCAAATTCGGCACATAGTAAGTGCTCAATAAAATTGTTAATAGTGTTAATGTGGATGAGTGAGAAAATAAAGAATTGATTCTCCCCTACTCGGAGTTCCTTTTTCCCAAGAGGCCGAGCTGAAGTTTTCTGGCTGGGCTGACCCACGGAGAGAACCTGACCTCTGGGGAGGGGCCGGGGACCAGGACCTGTAATAAAGAGCCCCACCCATATACACTCTGTATGTCATAAAGACCTCAGCTGCCCTGGCCAGCGGCACCCTTGGGCACACTCACAGAAGCTTTCTGTGCCCATGGGGCCTTCTCAGCTTGTCCGTGCCCCTCGGCCCCAGGGCTTACGTCCCCCTTACCGCAGGCCAGGTATGGGCTGGCCTCGGCCCAGGTTTCCCAAGATGTTCAAGTGTAGCCGCAGAAGGTACCGGCAGAAACCCCAAAGCCCAACTGCCACCACTGCAGCCACCAATCTTGCCACCATGGCCAGAGATATCAACAACACCCACAATGTCACCACCAGTGTGTGGATCCTTCCACTGCAAGGTTAGCCAAGGGCCCCGAGCCAGGATTTGGGGTTGGAAAAACAGGGTCACTGAAGTTTCCCCCACCTTAGCCCTGCATAGGCACTCAAGGGGACACACGCTCTGTGAAATATTACCCCAAGGGTCTTGATGGTGGTCTTCCGAAAAGGCGGAGAGCCTTAATGGAAGACATATTGGCTGGAAGTGGAGGGCTTGGGGAAGTGAATGAATCTAAGAGCAGTGGAGCTTCCAGGACTGCTTGCTGCCTTCCTCACACTCTTCCCTCTCCTTCCTCTCCTCAGTTCTCAGACGCCTCTGTCAACCTGGCAGCTTTCTGATCCTCTAGAAATGCCCAGAAACTAGTCCAGAAGCTTGGCTGGCTCCGGACCTGTATCTTCTGGGGGCCATGGGTGGTGAATAGCAGCCTAATACAATCATTTCTGCCCACTCCACTCTGAGGTATTTGCAGCTGATTGCAGGGTATGAGGGCTGGGACAGGCTTCAGTGACAGCAGCCGGGATCACAGTTAGACAGTGGAAGGACAGGACAAGGTCAGCAACACGCACCAACTCCCCACCTTTGGCTTCAGCTTTTGATATACCCTATGAGGCCAGGGCCTTCCTGCCTTGCACTCCCATCTGCACAGGGAAAAGGGTCTGCATAGACAACTTGGAACCTATAGGGAGCCAGGTCCTCGGGGAGGAAGATAGAGGAACAAATCAGGAAAGGATAGGAGGAAAAAGATTTCACTGCTTGCCTGTAACCCTGTGAATGATTCAGTGCGGTGTATGTGGCTCTGTGTGCCTGGGATGGTCAGTGTGTAGGTGTAGCTGCTGGTGTGTGTGTCTGAGACCAGAACAATGGGAGTGTAAGTGGACATGTGACCGAGTAAGCCTTTGCAATCGAATGTGCCTCTGTGGCCAGCTGTGAGTGTTAAGGTGTGTTTGTGAGGGTATGGGTGGACCAGAGAGAGGCACCAGCTCTGCTAAGAGGAATGAAGGTCAAGAGGGGGAGGGGGCAGCCTGAACAAGGAAATGGTTGCTTCTGAGAGGGTGTACCACCTTCAGCCCCCAGTCACTCTCTGAGGTCAGTATTTTCCAGGACAGGAAAACAGCTGAGCCAGGCCTCTGGGGGTGGGGCAAGACAGCTTGAGTCCAGAAGAGGGAGGGTGCTAAGCATTCTGGCCTGGGGATTTTCCATTTGAATTTCTGAGTGTGCGCCCATGTGCCACTGGGTGTAACTGGGTTTCTGCGGGATGTGTCTCCATGGCATTGTGTCTCAGTGGCAGGAAACGTTGTGAGGGGCCCCG